AACCCTAAACCCTCAAGCCATAAACCCTGAACCCTAACTAAGCCGAGGTCCGGAGTCCTGGCCACCAGACTGCGAGAATATGAACATGCCAATGTAGCAGAGTGATCCACGCCTAACAACAGAGTAATAATGCAGTAATAGAGTAATAACAATTTTGTAGCACAATAGCAATAATATGGTAATAACATCTTTTTAGTGTGGTCTTGGTGTGGCGATAATATTGTTAAAATACAGGAATGATATAGTAATATAGTGTAATAATATGGTAACGTAGTAATGTAGCAATAATATGGTAAGAATATCGTAGCAATACAGCAATAGTCTAGTAATAATAGCAGTAATATAGTAGCTAGGTTCTGCTGTGGGTCTCAGCAACCAGCATCTCAATTGTGAAGCCTGTATGGAATGCACAGTCCAATGTCGGGTCATTAATCCGTGTAGTTGTCCTTGCTGCGAGACAAGCGAACATCGCGTCGAACAAGCTTTTCAGGACAACGACATGGCAAGAAAAAGTAGGTGTGTTGCCAGTCCCATGATGGCCTGGGGAGTTTTGCCTGCAAATTTTTGTTATCCAAGCACTTTGTTGTGACAATTCTGGTTATGTGGGCTCAGCCCCGACTGCGCCTGCTCCGCTTGACAAGCTGTGACAGATTGACACATTGCATGCTGCGAAGCTGTTTAGACAAATTTGATCCCGAGCTACCGCCCGCTGGAGGGGCTGGGCCAGGCAACTTGGGAGTTTGTGTTTATGGGGATATAGGTACCCATTGGGGTAATATTAGGGTTATATTGGGGGTAATGGAAAAGACAATGGAAACTACTATAGTATATTGGGGTTCTATATTGGGGTAACGAAAATAAAATGGAAACTGCTGTTTAGGGTTTAGGGTTTAGGTTGTGGTTGTTCGCCTGAGGGAGGTGCGTCGAGAATCATGTGCACTTATACTGAAAGTCGTGTTGCGTGGAAGCTTGCCCAGACATGGAGCTTACTGTGTATAGTATACTAGAATATAGTATATTCTAGTACATTATACTATAACATACCATATTAGTACATTTTGTACTATAATGTACTTATTGTCGTATATTATATGACGATATACTATATCATAGTCTGAGACAAGCATGGGGCGAGATGGCAAGCCTCCTCCAGGTTTAATGGCGTGGAGAAGTACGCTCCTTGCTCTTGTGAGGGGCTCAGGTCCTTGACCGTTTGGGGTTTAGGGTTTCGGTTATGTAGGGGTAACGGAAAAGAAAATGGAAATTTCCTTCATGGGGTTGCATAGGGTGTATGTAGGGGTATAAAGGATGTGGTTTCAGGGCGCGCGCTGGTCGGGATCCGGCAGGTCAACACGAAAGAGTGTCGCCCGCCAGCTCATGACCACGTGAGGTCTTGCTGGGGCCGTTCGTAGCCCGCGCTGCTCGACCAGTTCTGAGCTCAACTTGCGAGAGATCGATAAGCGTGGAGACACTTGGGAAGCAGCAAACATCAAACTATGCTCTGTGCATCCTTATGTCACTAAGAAAAATGTAGCATATTGCATACTGGTGGCTGAGGTCGGGGCTGTACTTCGACTAGAGTCGAAGGACACCGGATTCAGCAGGACATTGGCAGGGGGCTTGCTGATGGGTTCATATTGAGGAGCGGGGGGTCCATTTCTTGGATCCTTTAGAGGGGTCTGGGCTGCCCCTGTCATTCTAAACATAGTAATATAATAGGAAACAATGAAGGGTAAAATGAATGGTAAAATGAATGGTAGTAACATAGCAATAACATCATAGTAGTAGTAGTAGTAGTAGTAGTAGTATAGTAATAACATAATAGTAAAATAGTAATAATACAGTAAGAATACAGTAATATAGTAACAATTCTCCGTGAAGGAACCTTCCAGCTCTATATGCGGCATGGTCCGAGCCGGTCTCGGTCCGGTGTCTCAGACCTAGCGGAGAGGTAATGGAGTAGAGCATCCAGCCAATTTTTTTAGTATACTCTATTAGAATACAGTAGTTTATACTAGAATATATTTCAATGTAGTATTTTGTAGTATTATGGACTATAGTATAGTATTTTATTTATAACATACCATAATATAGTAATTTCTTAGTATAATATACTACCACATTGAAGTCCCTGCGGAGAAGAGGTGGAGGGCTTAACCATCGTGCGCCCGGAGTCCGATGCCTCGGGCTGTTCACCACTTCCCAGGATGACTGGGATTCGGGTTTAGGGTTTACGGGAGGGTTTAGGGTTCCCTAAACTATCGGGAAAGGAGGTTCCTTTTGGGGTTAGGGTTTATATAGGGTTTTATATAGGGGTTTATATAGGGTGTAGGGATGCTGGGGTTTAGTAGGGATAATAGAAAAGAAAATGGAAACTACTGTAGTACGTGAAGGTTATATTGGGATAATGGAAAAGAAAATGGAGACTAAGCTTCAGTTTAAAGCTGACTGGGTTCTGCTTCTCATTAAGCCCGCCTTCTTGTTTGATCTTGAAGTTGAATACCGCCAAACTGACCAGGCAGTGCCCTTCAGGTGGTTTCAGAGCGAGTGGTCTTACTTGAGCTGTTAACGCCAAGGGTTTGTAAGACTTTGGCACGCTCACCGCTATTCCCAGTCCAAGCCTTTTTAACTTCGCGTCCTCGTTCACAGCAGAATTGTGAGCGGAACCAGTAGCTGCACTGCCTGGTTACACTAACACACGGCATGAGAATCACGAGAGAACAGATCGAACTTGTTGAAATCTTTGAAGAGTCTTCCTGTACTTGGGTGCTTTCCTGATACTGGACATCATGTCTCCCTTCCTCTGAAAAATCGTGAAGCCAAAAATCAGGAGAAGGCAGTCAACCATCGTAATTGTCGGTTTCAGGCTTCTGAGACGGGTACTTTCATGTTTGGTTGGAAGTGCGCTTATCTTGAAGGCCGGTGCATCATGCAAGCGTAACTACAGAGACCTGAAGTCCAGCTCCTTCTTCAATCTGACTTTCCATCAAACCGGCAGATGTCGACGCTGTGCGCTGCTGGTGCTGCAGGGGCACCATCCCCAGAGTGAATGTGCTGAGGACCTCGTCTCGTCTTGGTCATTTTTGCAAGTTGTGCTCGATTGATGTCAATCGCAACCTGGTGCCGGAAGCCACTGCTCAACCCCTAGCAAGTGGCTGTTTCGTCACATAAAATTCCCTTTAGCCAGTGCTTTGCATTGGCCAAGAGTAAGTGAAACATCCAGCCCACCTGTAGCTTGCAGCATCCGAAACTGTTGGGTTGCTGTTAAGGAACTTAAATTAAGTTACCATAATGGGTATATATAGTAAATAATCGGGTTTCCCCAGTATAGTAACTTAATTTCAGTTCCTTAACAGCATCCGAAACTGTTGTGTCGGTAGTCTCAGTATCCGCACTTTGCATACCACGGTTGACAGCAACCCCTTGTGGCATGGCCAGAGATGGTTTCCTGACGGGTTTGGGCCTCAGCTTGATTTTGTATATATATATATATACCCTAGTATAGTACATAATGTTATATTCTGTTTTTTTTTCTATGCTATATTATGGTTATATTATGGTATATGCTGGTATATTCTGGTATATTTTGGTATATTTTGGTATATTTAAGGGGCTGCGCCCAGGG